TATATATATATATATATATATATATATATATATATATATATATATATTTACGTATATATATATATATATATATATATATATATATATATATATATATATTTACGTATATATATATATATATATATATATATATATATATATATATATATATATTTACGTATATATATATATATATATATATATATATATATATATATATATTTACGTATATATATATATATATATATATATATATATATTTACGTATATATATATATATATATATATATATATATATATATATATATATATATATATATTTACGTATATATATATATATATATATATATATATATATATATATTTACGTATATATATATATATATATATATATATATATATATATATATATATATATATATTTGGTTACAGCAAAAACTGTGTAGAACTGTACTTCATCAATTAATGCAAATGCCTTTGCACTCAACTCTTCAACAATGGCAATGTCCTCCACCATGTATATTTGGGAAGATAGAGATTGATTGGTTTGGTGTTTGAGGAGAAATTGCTAGGGAGGTCTTCAAGCCCTCATCTTGCCAGAATATATATTGTGAAAAATTAATTGCATTTGCCAAATTGCAGTGGCTACTACATCACTGGATTTAGCTGCTTGGAAAAAGTTTGGGTAGTTTGTTTCACACAGTCATCTGGTACTGTAGAAAGTATACTTTGCTTGTAATGGACAGAATGACAAAATTTAAGATGCTTTTCAACTATGGCATTTCCTTTGCAAGTTGAAAATAAGAAAGTTGTGCAACTTGTAACTAATACTTTGTATATAATTACATAATTACCGCACTGCGATAAGGAAAATCTAATGACATAGACATAAAGAGAGGGAAAAAACTACACTCTGATTACTGAAATAATCTACAAAGACCAGAATAACATCAGATATGAAAAAAAATGGGAACAATAAATGCTGTACTGATAGAAATTCCATGGTGATTGGGTGGTATCCCCTAGTGCGGAAATATGGTTGTCTTGGGGTAAAGCCCCTGGTTAATGTTACCGAGAGCGACGCACTGAGATAGAGGGAAATTGATACTACCATCTTTTAAAACATAAAAAATAGAGTAGGAAGCAATATAGATATATCTGCAGCAACCTCATATTTAAATTACCCTCTGAGTGTCACCGCTCAGAGACTAAGTCCACAACACCCTCACACAGCCGGTTCTTAATGTCGTGTTTTCTGTAAGTTCGCACGAGGTGTTAATAAAGGGGGGTACAGGGGGGGCTTGAGCCTATCTAGGGAGTAAATAGAGGGTAGAAAAGGTTAGGTTTGGATTTTGGGTTCGCATGTTATCCTGGATGGGGGACATCGTCTCTGAAGGGTGCGTTGCTCTCGGTAACAAATACCAAGCCCCTGGCTTAGGAATGATTTTGGTTCATGCAGTGATGCTTGCGGATTTCCATGAACGCAACCATGTTCTTGGCTGGAGTTATGGGGACTTAATTACAGAGGGTACTGTCACTTCGTAAACAATTATCAATGCTTTCAGTTATTTCCTGAATTGGTAATTGAAATGGAAAACAACAGCTTCACGCATATTAGAACATGAATAATTGGAAAAAAAAAAAAATTACAAAGTTGGATGGCCCTATGAAACAAAAACCACCATGGGTTCATAGCTAAGCCATGGTGGCTTTACCTCTGGTTTATGCAGATTATGTTAATATTAATGTGTTTGTTATAACTATTACTTTAGTAACTTTCTGTGTCGAATTGTAAATTGTTACCTGAATTTATTTCATAACTTGAAAAGAAAGAAAGAAAAATTCTTGCTGCTCTAACTACCTTTTCTGTATAAATCAATATAACTGATTCAGACAAGAAATTTTGTAATAGAAAATGAAACCAAAACAAATTAAATTACCATAGTCTTTACATACTTCTGCATGCTATTCTATAATTCTTCCCTAAAAACATGGAAAATACCAGAGATAAAACCATAGTTTTGGCAACTGAAATTAACCTTGTAAACATGGCTGTAAACAATTATGTTTATCTTACCCTCAGTGCACTGAGGGTAGCCACATATCAAAGATATTTCTCAGAACCACAGGTGCCTAAACATTTCGAATTTATCAGGTTATGGTAGGTACACAGCACTTAAACGGCAAACCTCATCTTATTTCCACTATTATATGCCTTACACCTAAACAGATTTGAAGTCCTTTGTCCCAGACACTGTCTATAAAATGTTACAAAAGTCTGGTTCATCACCGAGAGACTGCCATGGTGACGCAAGTCAGGGGCTTCCAAGAAAACCCACTTAATCATAGGGTATTCTGTTCAAGGATCTTTCAGGATACTCATTTCTTCTCACTTCAACGAGATGAACACGTTAACCTAAACACAGTTTCTTATAAACATTAGAAACCTTAATCACTTACACAAAGGTCACACAAACGGCACAGGTGGCAAGGAGGAAAAGAGAAAATGAAGGAAAAACAC